TCTGTGTTTAGTTTTGATGCTGCCACCGCCATGGTTTCTTGTTTAAGATGATGCCGGAGTCTGAAGACCCGAATATTATTTTACAGGCTGTTTCTTACGGGAACGCCGAATTATTGAGGCAAATTTTAGATGGCGGTAACGGCGACTTCTACCGGCCAAATTTGGCTCTTCACTCATCCACTTCGCCCATTCTGAATCCGCTGCACGTCGCCGCTGTGAAGGGCGACACACGGTGCCTGACGATCTTGCTCAATGCTGGAGGTAGGTTTCATGTTTGTGTCTTCGTATTAGTTTCACTGTTAACGCACCACATTGTTTCAGCCCAGGTGAACGCCGTTTCTTCGACAGCCTCCGGAAGCAAGGTGAGTTATCTCACCCTTAGGCACAGTTACCTCTGGCTAATCTACGCGCATCGCTGCTTTTATTTTGTTTTGACATTGCAGACCGCCCTGCACCTAGCCGCAGAGTTGGGCAACTTGACCGCGTGCCAGATTCTGGTGTCACACGGAGCCGACCTGTTTCACCGAGACGCTGACGGCAATACACCGTTGCAGAGTGCTCAGATATTCAACCATCAGAGGGTGTCTTGCTACTTGATGGAAGAAATAGGTTTGCGGTAGGCGAAACACTTTCGACGTGTAACACTAATTCGCTTGATTTAGAAAAACGACAATTGAAGATCACTGATCTAAAATCACGTACGACGACGTTCGATGTAGATGTTCAGATTGATTATTTCATCTTAGGACTTTACGAGGCGTGCAAAGAGAACCGAGTGCTGGAAGCGGAAAAAATTCTGAATGAAGCCGGTGACGAGTTTTTGCCCGATATCGTCAATGGCTTCGATGCCGACAAATCAACTCTGCTGTCAAAGTAAGATTTGTTGTTGACTGTGCAAACTTTTCTCTCTGCGTTGCCATACTATGTCAGTGAACAGCAACCATCACAGTTCTTCAGAACATCTGTTTTCACTTGTCAGCTTGACACGTCGTTAGCAACATACATATAGTATTGCCATGGTACAAATTGTCTTATCAGTGGTTTTTGACATGACCTTCTATGACGATCTATTCTGGAATATTTCAGAAGTGGACGTGCCAAAAATCTCTGCATCTCATAGAGGTTATGATTAAAAGGAAGGTAGTTAATGTTAGCTTGTTGGTCACTTTCCTACTTCTGTGATCGATGCCCTTCATGGCACCCTTGCTTTCGTAGTGCTTATGCTTCAATGTTGATCTCTGTTACTCTTTTATTATCCAGAAGTGCCTTCTTTTAAAGGAAATGTCTGCGACTATGTGGTTACTCTATCGTTTATCCTTCTGTTTGTTTCCCCACAAAGTTGTGCTCTTTTGCGTACCTCAGAAAGATTATAAGTGACCTGATCATAATCCAATCACATGATCTTCTACTGAGAATCTTATGTTCTACCCAATGAGCTATCCTCAATGTTTGTTTTTCAGACGAATGAAGCATTTGAAACTGAAGCACGATGGATTGCAGTTTTTCAGACAATACTGCATGATGTTCCAAACTGTTTAACCCATCTCCGCCTATTTTAATAGCTTCAAAGTCCCCATTGTGACTTTATAATGCGCATGGTCAGACTGTTGGCAGATTTTTTTGAATCTTGTTTACTGACGCTTACAAGGCTGGTTGCCATTTCGGTTTCAGAGCATAGCGTAATGCGCTGCAATTGTTTCCTCGCTGATGTAGGTCATTCTTTTCTCATTGATCAGTGAGCTATGCATCGAAATTTGCAACAATTTGTTATAGGTTTACAATCAACTCTTCAGTATTGAAGCATTTCGACAGTTCCCAATTTCTGTTATCATTCGCTCAAAATCAATGGAACCGCCGAGTATCTTATCTCTTTAAAAATTTTTTACTGTTTGCTCATAATAAAAAACCCTAACGTTAGTTTGGCTGTCCAAACGGAAGAATACGTAACTTCAAATCTTGTGTTTTGTGTTCAGACTCATAATGTTCCGTGGTGTTGGTTGCTTGTTTAACTTTTGTGTTTACTTTCACATTTGAGTGAATTTTATGGTGCTAAATCAGTTGGATGGCAATGGGGAGAAAAACATTAACAGCGGATTCTCGCAATACGCGGTATAACCCCTGCGGCTCCATGTTTAATGGCGTGCCTTAAAACACTTGTTCAAACAGTGTAAATGGCATCGCCCTGCCGGTCCAATATTTTTACCTGCAAATATCGATCAGTGTGCTGTCTTCTGATCTCACATCATTAAATCAGCACCCTCAAGAATTGAACTTTTGCCGGAATCCTGCAAAGACCCTTGCCACAGTGTTGAGGTGAGAATGAAACTGCGGCTGAGAGAGCGTCAACAACGCCACTTTCTTCCAACTCTGCAAACCGTTGTAGAAAATGCGGAGGATCAGTCTGAAGACAAAGCGCCGAGCTTTCTGCATGCCGCCATCCGCTTGATCTTCCTCTATGAGGATGAGAGCTAAGCCTCAAGAGTCGAAGACTTGAGGATCCTTGAACTGATTCATTAACCATTTGTTCAACACCACAATCCTTGCGCATTGCAACGTCGTCCAGATCTCTGCTACCCTGAAAGAACGACCATTGCGTTAGTTATAACACGTGCTGACACGTCTACATTAAGATATCACCTCATTTTTTCAGAACGTCATTCTGTTTTCTGGCTGGCACCGGAATAAACATGGACAAGTGAGGAACATTGTAAGACGGACCAGAAATGACATTGAAATTCTCTATGGTGCGATATCTGGGTACAGACGGTGGGTAAAAGGCCAAGCTGTGGTAACAGTGTGCATGATTTTCAGAGGTGACACGCACCGGAACGTCAGTGGAGTCGACTAAGCTAGTGATAGTGATAGCCGTATCATCAACAATCTTCCACGTAGACAATCGTTTATCTCAGCCATCAGTAGTCACCGAATTTTGTTAGCACCGGATAAACAGGAGATGACGTTGAAATATTTAAGTGTCTGTCCTACTGAACATTCATGATTAAATCATAATTAGGAATTGATCGATAATTGCAACACGAAGATAGTCCTTAGTATGTTGTCATTTTACGGATACTTGACGTCATAAGTGACATGAACATAGGTAGAAAATATCAGATTTCGAATTCAGCGAACATCACATTTGTTTTCACATCGAAATGGAAACGACGATCATTATTAAAGAAGATCTTGTATGATGATGGCTCACCAGATATGGTGTAAAAGATCGATTGTCTGTCGTGTAATTTGTGATTTTATGACAGACTGGCCAGCATTATTACCATTGCCTGGAAGACCGAGTACCGAGTGCAGGCGATTTGTCGCTGTCCAAGGAACTCTGAGTAACTTGAAAATGGGCTTGTCAATCATCATATTACCACGGAGTTTCTGGTATGAGAGCAGTCGCGACGGAAATGAAGGTCTGTGAGAGGGTATTGTTAGAAGTCTTCGTTATCCGAACCACGGACGGTGTTGTGAATAGGTATTGTAGGCTAAAAGTGTTAGTAACGGATTAACCAACAGAATGGACTTGCAAGATAAAAACAGTATCGAAATCATGATAAAAAACCATAAGCGTTTCGTCGATAACTATCAAATAAGGCTGAATGTCAGGCAACAGGTAGTCAAGAACCAGGCTTCTTGGAGTAATGCCCAGTCGGTAGAGCATTAGAATCACCGTCGGGTCACTCTCCTTTCATCTTTTTGAGCGAGAGAAACAGGAGGCTGTATGATCGAAGATATTGCCTTTAAAATAAAGTACTCTTCGGTAAGCGCATACCTAAACAGAGATAAGTACTGCACTATCAGCTTCATGATAAAAATGACTCCAAACGGCTGAAAAAGTTTATTTTTCCTTTGCGTTCGATTGATTGCCAACACTGTAAAACTTGCAGCATCAGATATCTGTTGTTTGTGTATAAAAGCGAATGGATTGATAAGTCTTACCATTTGGCTGAACATGATTGGAAACTCCATCCATATGCTGGGTTTGATCATGTCATCGCACGTCGATGTAAATTTTTTGTCTTTGAGATATTGTCAATCGTTGTTTTAGTTGAATTCGAAATATATAAATTTGTTGCCTTCCTTGTCCCACATCAGATATTGCTAGATTTAGTATTTTAAAATTAGTTTTTTTCAGCGTATGCTTTTAACATATACGTTTTTATAAAATCGCATAAGTCATTTTATTCAGATCAATGCGTAATAGGCTTATAAGGAAAGTACAAGTTGTAAATTGCCAATGACGTTTTGATCTGTTTCACAAATCGTCCAGTATGAACATTAAGAGAAAAACAGTAATTTACTGTGAGAAACGTGAATATAACTTTATTGTTATAACAAACCTAATGTGCGTTGTTTGAAATTTATACATCCGTATCATTTTTCGAAAAAAATATCTGTAGGCAACAACGTACCTCAGAGCTTGTGCTTGTGTAATTGTTTTCTGCATGATAATATGTTGCAGTAGGCGGAGGGTAGCTTGTTTATTTGATTGCGGCGCATTAATTATCTATTAAACAAGGTCTTGAAACAAGTTTCGGTTAATCTTTGCACTTTGATACTTCTGGCCATATTTTTGCCTCATTTTTACCATCTTATATTTTTGCGTGTAGCTCAACAGTGCAAAGTAATGTTTTGCAGAATCTGTGAATTGGGTCACACAGATATCGTTGACATGCTTATCAAGTACGGCGCTGATGCTTCAATAGACCCGTCAACGTTTTACTCACCCTTGTACGTAGCAGTTCGTGCTGGACACACCGCTGCAGCCAGATCTGTTTTAAAGGTACTTTTTGATTTTATGATAAATTCTGATTCGCTTGCGGGCAGTTGAAAAAATATTCATTTGCTTCTATAATCCTTAGCGTTGTAGCGAGTGCATGTGGTTTGACATATCGCCAAAAACAGAGCAAAAATTTGTTTTCATGTGTTACTTATGACATTTTCATCTTTCATGATCGCTTCTCCTTTCGCGGTACATATAACATATACTACTTCTCGGATGGCGAAGAAGACAACGCCATCC